AGACCTGGAGTAATTGACACATGGGGGGCACTGAGTCATGAGGGCACTGGGAGGAATCCATCTATACAGCAGAATCAAACTAAGTAGTTTTTTGGTGATTTTACAGCATTTTCTCTTATGTCACTCCTTGTGATTTGCATCATGTGATGTCACCCATACATATTTAATTATGCAAATTAGCAAGGCCGGTATGTTTTTCCAAGAAAGGTGGCAACCCTAACTACTTTTCACATACTCTTACTTAAGTATGGAAACTTAAGTGGGATGTATGGGAACAAAACTTATGTGGACTGGCTGACAATGAATATAGTTAAAGGGACACTATAGTCACCAGAACAACTACAGCTTATTGAATTTGTTCTGGTGAGTAGAATCATTACTGTCAGGCTTTTTGCTGTAAACACTGTCTTTTCAGAGAAAATGCAGTGTTTACATTACATCCTAGTGATAGAACTGGCCACTCCTTAGATGACTGTTAGAGATCCTTCCTGGGTCATGGCTGCCTAAAATGCATCCAAACATTCAGTGTCTCCTCCCTCTGCATGCAGACACTGAACTTTCCTCATAGAGATTCATTAATTAAATTCATCTATATAAGGAGATGCTGATTGGCCAGGGCTGTGTTTGAATCATGCTGGCTCTGCCCTGATCTGCCTCTTTGTCAGTCTCAGCCAATCCTATGGGGAAGCACTGTGATTGGATCAGGCCACCACTTCTAATGATGTCAGCAGACTGCTTGTTTTTATGAGTCTAACAGCATGCAGAGTTACAGCTTCAGGCTTGAATATAGTAAGATTTTGCTATATTTATGGAGGCATGAGGGGCCCAGGGGGGCTAGATGGTGGTGTTGACACTATAGGGTCATGAATTCATGTTTGTGTTCCTGACCCTATAGTGATCCTTTAAGGTAATGCTGACTTTGGTCTCTCTAACAATGTGCTTCTACACTCACTACATACAGCTTTTCTCTGTCCCAGACCATATACCAGGAGCTTCTGCCTGCTAGTAAGAAGGTAAGGAGACAAGTGGACCAGCGAGTGCTAGGGGACAGTCCTTAGAATGCGTTGAGTGAGCGCATCATTAGATGCATTTATGCCAAGCTCAGGGTGCTGTCTGCATAGTATGTCCTTAGTTAGCCAGCTGCATGATTGGCAGGCAGCCTGACATGCATTCATGCCAGGCTGGCCTTCTAATTCTTTGAGCAGACATGTCCTCTTTTTGGGCATGTTTGCCCCTTTTGGCAGGTTACGTGATTTGTGTCAGTGGCACACCCTTTCACCATGCCCATTGACTTCCTGCCTGACTGGACACTGCTGTTAGGGGTTATGGATTTACTTGAAAGATGAAAACATAAATTAGAGAGAGATTAGCCCAGGGTATGTGTTTTCTTATAGCTGCTGTTTTCTTTCTCTCCAGCACCATCAGATACATGATGCTTTGGAGTGTTTTACTGTTTTTGGTCTATATGATTCTGTAATTAGGCCCGTCATAATTGTCAGCACCAGGCCCACTGGGCTCTTAATCTGGCCCTGCCTGGGATACACACGGCCGCTGGGGAGGAAGGACTGCACCTTCAGCTCCCTGGGATACACACTGCCGCTGGGGAGGAAGGACGGCACCTTCAGCTCCCTGGGTTACACACTGCGGCTGGGGAGGAAGGACGGCACCTTCAGCTCCCTGGGACACACACTGCTGCTGGGGAGGAAGGACGACACCTTCAGCTCCCTGGGACACACACTGCAGCTGGGGAGGAAGGACGGCACCTTCAGCTCCCTGGGACACACACTGCCGCTGGGGAGGAAGGACGGCACCTTCAGCTCCCTGGGATACACACTGCCGCTGGGGAGGAAGGACTGCACCTTCAGCTCCCTGGGATACACATTGCCGCTGGGGAGGAAGGACTGCACCTTCAGCTCCCTGGGACTAACTCTGCCGCTGGGGAGGAAGGACGACACCTTCAGCTCCCTGGGGTACACCTTTGAGTCCCCCGTAATGCACTCTGCCACCGGATAGGGCGGCCGATACCTTTGGCTGGATCTGCCATGAACTGCAGGTACTCGTCTACCTGGCTTCTTACGAACTGCACGAATTCCTCAGAGGGGACAAATGTAACGAGAGCCAGCCGCGAGGCACACTCTTTGTCAAATGCCTCCTGCGTGTAGCGGGGTGCCATGCTTGCTCTTTCGAAGTTGGTTCCTTCCTTTGTACTAGCGTTGCTCTCAATTGTAATCCAGGCACTGGTGTTGTCTTGTAGCTGTCCTTCTTGTTGTAGGAACGATCCCGCCGCTGCCACCAATTGTAACGGACCGTTTCGCTCACAAGGGGATAAAAACCGTTTAGGCGATAATCCCCTTCCAGATAGACCAGCAGCTACTGCAATCACCAACCTCCCGAACTCCAACTTGCACGTATTCACCAACTCTCGAACAGCAGACACATGAATCCTGGAAGCAGCCGAACAGGAAAAGCCCTACGAACAGCTTACACTCCTGGCAATCGGCATACAGTCAAATTCCCCCCAAGAATGAGACGACACTTCACTTTGAGGGTTAAACAGGAACAAAACTGCTGGCACACCCAGCCTGGTTTTTATTACAGTCTTGCACATACAGGACCGCCCACAGGGAGGTATAAAATAACCAATCAAATAACAGTTACAACCCACAATGCATCACAATCCCTCCTCCCTGGCCTGGAGATAATTGGAGAAACTCCATTACACACATGGCAGACAAAAGACAGTAAAATACAATAAAATACACAAGGTTACATTTATACATAAAATACAGACATTCTACCTATCCCCAGATAGCTTAGATCTGAGCGCACGTTATTACCGGATGGCGCTCAGATCACATACATACAGTTCAATCGCCATATACAGTCTTTCAGTATACGGCTGGGCTCCATGGCATAGCTATCTGGGGTAGCATGGCTTTAACAGTCCGCAGAAAGGCACAAACCAGGGAAAAAGAACAGGGGCTGTAGTCTAAAGGTAAGAGGCGGGCAAGCAGCCCCCTCCAAGGACAGGTGGCAAGGTCGGTTTCGCCACACTGGCTATTGTTCCTCTCGCTTCTAGTAACTCCTTTAATGTGCTGCGTTTCAAAAGTGCATAATTTGTTTCCATTCATCGGCTGTTCGTGCGTTTCCACGTATTCCCGAACTCCGGTTTCATCCGAATGGTTGTGCTCACGAAGTGCTGATTCTTTCCTTCTGTTCGTTTTAATTCCTGCCGAAACCTGCTTTGCCGTGTGGTTAAAATCCCGTCGCTTGCCACCAATTGTAGCGGAGTAGTAGTATTATCCACGATATCTCCGCTGGTAGACAGAATCAAGCAGGCACAAAGCAGGTAAAATCCAGGTAGCGTAGTTACAATCCCTTCCTCCCAAGAACTAGACGACACATAGCTTGGAGGTCAACTGAGGTTTATTTTCAGGTCACGGTATTTATGGGATTCCCCATGCAAGGGGTTTCCCTACTGACATTTCAGGGGTGGTACAGTAGGGGACTACATGGGGAACTGACCAACACATACATTTTTCCCATCATGCTGGACGAGAGGGATACTCCCACTGGAATATTCAGTTAATGGGATTATCCCTCCGGGCAGCAGAACTTACATTTTACATTAAAATGTATAACTTTACTAATATTTCCCTGATTTACACGAATGGACGTTCGGTAGATAGCTGGAGGCTGAACGCATAGTTCGTGAGAATCCCTCTCAGCTCCCAGTCTAACTAACTGAACGCCGCACGAAATACACATTATTTCTAACATATGTTTAAAATACCAATTGGTATAAGGTGAACCAACTACCGAACGGCCGGGGCTCCCGAACGGCCTGGAAGTCCAGCGGTGTTTGCGCCGGCAAGTAGCCGTTTTTAGTTCCAGGCGCTCGACGGCAAAACCCCGCTGGGCTAACAAAAGAACCAAGATGGCTGACCGCCTCGTGGTCGGTAGTCGAACGACGGCCACCTAGAAACACACTTAATTACCGATTGCAACAATGTTGCAATCGGTTAATGGGCGCCACACGACCCCCTGTGTGTGGTCGTGCATTCGGTAAATTATTCGTTTCACGAACCGTGTTTAAACTCACTGTTCGTGAAACTACAGTATGAATGCTGGGGTTTTCCTACCGCCAGCATACGAATGCCCTCATTCGCCTGAAATACAAGTAGAATCCTGCACTGATCTCTATGGCTTTAGCAAGAATACAAAAATACTTATACATTAATAGTCTCTAGTGGCTAGTTTTGCCACAGTCCCCACATCTGGCAGTGGTGACATTGCACCAAGCCGGGCTGCTGGAATCTCGGTTGGGCAGCGGCTGGTGGGGGTGGTAGTTGTCGGGGTGGTACTACTGTGTTGTTGGGGTAGCTCGCCCCCCCTAAGGGCCTTGCAGGGGTCTTGATAACTACAGTTTTTTGTTGCCTACGAGCATCTGCTTTTCTAGCTGCCTCCATGAGGGAGGTAGGGTTGCGGTCCCTTACCCATTCCTGGACCTCCACTGGTACCCCCTCAAAAAATTGTTCCAACAGCACCATTTGTAATAGGTCCTCCATGGACCGTGCTTTGTTAGCCTGTACCCATCCGAGAGCCGCCCGCTGTAATCTACAAGCCCATTCTGCATGGGAGTCTTTTTCTGCCTTCTTTAGTTCCCTGAACCGCCTTCTATATGCCTCTGGTGTGATGGCATACCGAGCCAATATAATTTATTTTACCTGGTGGTAGTCACGAATTTTGTCATTGGGTACAGTATGGTAAGCTTCTGCTGCTCTCCCGATTAGCCGCCCAGCTAAAATGGGGACCCAATCTTCTGAGCTGATGTTATGTAAGGCACACAGTCTTTCAAAATCTTGGAGGAATGCATCTATATCTTCCTCTGCCTCCACATACATTTTAAATGCCTGGTACGGTATTTTTGGCTTACCCTCTGGCATCCTGTTTACTGTTGAGCTGCACTCTCGGGTTGTCGTCACCCTTTGCCTCAGTATGAACTCCTGGACTTCTGTCATTGTCTTGGAGATGATCTCTGCCGGTGGGTTCTCTCCATAAAAAGACAGCCTAAATTGCAGCTGTCTCTGGAACTCCATTTGTTCCTGTCTTTCTACTGAATCACTATGTTTGGGAACCGAACCGCCATCTGTTCGGTATTCCGCCATTAGTTCGGTAATAAGTACAGCTTTCGTTTTATTGCTGGCTTGAATGCCCCTTGCTTCCAGGAGGTCTTTTAGCACGGAGCGTTTTAGTGTAGAATAGTCAATCTCCATCCGTACTCCATTGGTACTTGTTCCTCTGTGAGTGTGGATCCCAGCGCTGCCAACCAATGTAGCGGAGGCCTGGTATTCCACAGGTTAACTCCACTAAA